CTCATCGTCGTTTAGCGTCGTCAAGAGCACCACAAGCACTCAAAAAATGGCACAAGAAGCAGCGACTGCAGCCACAGGCCGGCTAAAGAGCCAGCCAGCAAAGTTGCAGTTGACACCATCTTATGAAATTAGTTTCTTTTTGACTTGACATCGTTTGGGCCGCGGCTGCCAACGCGTCTGCTACTTGAGCGCATCTGCAATTTTCTCTCCTTTTCTCACTCTCCGTAGCTCCGTAGCTCCGAACCTTTTCAATTTTTTGTGCTGTCTAATGTGAATATTTGTGCATACTTCGCTTGGACTCTGCTGGCATTGCTTCTCGGCTGGCGCACGTGACACGCCAAAGTGAATTTCAAACTTGGCAACGTCAAGCGGGGCAGGACAAGAAAAGTTAAACGTTTTTGCTTAAATTCACACTTGACCCCCGAAAAAAGAGTCGCACTATCCAGCAAGCCAAATAACCCTTATACTGAAAAAAGCTTTTTTAAATTATTTTCATTATTATTGTACCGTTTGTTTGTTGAATGTAATAAACTATCCTCCAATTGGAGAAATATGTTATTTAAACGGCCCTATGAGCTCGATTAATAATTGCTTGCACATGCATTTCCCCATAGCTGTGATGTACAGAGTGACTTTATATGACATTATATTCCCATTTTAGAGATAAGCGGGAGCCGATAAGCCAATAATTTATAATTGCTTTAAGTACAAGTATTTCTTTTTGTCGACGATGTGATGGCACAATGTGAGTCGCCTGTCGAGATGTATATTAAGGTATAAAATGTCCTAAGACTATAAGATATTCACTTTGTTTATATATAGCGTATTTTGCTTAATCGTGCTTTGATGCACTAATTGGCCAGCCACTCCTCCAGAAGTACTAAGTGGTCAGTCAAATTTTTAGTTACATTGATTCTACATCGAGGAATATCTATACATGTACATATAATATGTACAAAAACAGGAAAAGAACGCACCCATGTGGCATACTTGCTCCCATTGAAAAAATTAACATATACAACACTCTGTTTTCTACAAACACTTGCCCATTTAATTTAACAAGGCTCCATGTTTAAAATTGTCTTACGAGGCAATTCTTTTGATATGTTTATGGTTTAAACTTCACATTGTGCGCAGGTTGCAGATGCGGGAATATGCTGTTCACCTAACTGGCTAGACAACAGATTTTGTGAGCCTTGCGCTGTAGAAACACTCGAAGTTTGCGTTATATACGAATAAGTCGAGTAGCAAAAAGGCATGAAAATAAACACGGGCAGGTGAATTTAGCTGAGAGCCTCCATCAAATGACTAAGCAAAAGGTACATCACTTTATCAAAAAGTTGAAAGAATTTCCACTTCACAAAAATACCCAAAGGGTAAACGTCAAATTGTGGCAGCCAAAATTTAGGCTAAAGTGTTTTTAGAATTGCAGTGTAGGCAATTCCGTTATTTGACCTTTCGGGTTTTGGCTGCCCGTCCGTCATAATTATCTTGGCCTTGTCCAATATGCGTCTTACTGGGCACAAACTTTAAGCAAAGCGCACAAAAGCCGACAGGAGCGGAAACAATGAACACAGAACTTGGTTTAATTAAGGGCAGCAAGCAAGCTTTCCTCCTCCTCTCTCTCTCTCCCTCTGCCCCTCTTCCCGTCTCTCTCACTCTCTTAGATGCCATCAACTGCGGCCCACTGAGTGATGAGGTGTTGTTTGGCCTTTGAGTTCGGCGTCATTTGAAAATTGCCAACCGCTTCGATAGCCAGCCATTTGGCCTGGCCTGGCTAGTCGAGTCTTTTTGAGAGCAAAAACAAAAAGCCACTTATACTTCATTTGGGCCGCTTTGTTTGCCTAGTGTTTGTTTGCTAGCCTTGTTCTTCCCTTTCCATTTCTGGTGGTCAACACTGCGTTCGAGTTGGCTGCGAATGTGTGCGGTTCATTTGAGTAGCGAAGCTACCGAGCTAGTCGCCATTTGTAATTTGTTGCTGGTAACTTTTCCAAAAGTCGCAACCTCTCGTAAGTCACTCGAGGCAGTCGTTTTCGGAGATTCTCACCGTGGCTAGCATTTATAAGATTGCTCTGTTTCCAACGCTTTGTTAGCTTTTAAAGTGTATACTGCCAAGTGTTTCCGAATTTTCATTTCATGGCAACTGTCCTTTCTATTTGGCATAACACTTTTTTCTGCAGCGTTCAACAAATAATGTGGCATGAGTTTTCTTGTCTTCGATAGATGTAGTCAAATGGTGCTTACACTGCCACAAACCAATGCCGCATGGAAGAACTTAGCAAGGGAAAGCGTTCAAGTATCTTTTCATAAAAGTTTAATATTTGTTCCTTTTTGTAAGTTTCTTTTACTCTTTACTATTTAAATAAATATATCTTTGAATACAAGCGAAGAAGTATTTATTTAGTTTTATTTCTGAGTCAGAGTCAGTTATTTTATAGTCAGGGAAACAAGTTTATTTTAATAATTTGTTTAGTTCAGTTAACATTTACAGTTAACAATTGCAATATTTCAAAAATAGAAAAGTATACAAAAGAATTCAATTTAAACGCCTCTTTGGTTTGCACTCGAGATTAGTTAGAGTTCATTGGACTTATTATTTGAATCAGCCGCAATGAATAAATATTTTTAGTTACGGTTTTAATTTACTTTCCATATAGAAGAAGAACAGTCGTAGTAAGCAGGAATGCCACTATCGAAGAAGTACCTATGATTTGAATAATATTGTAATGATACAGGGCTGTATACAAAACTTGGAAATTATTTAAATTTAAAGCAATTTACATTCTTCGTGCAGTGTATAAGTATTTGATGGGCATGCTGAACTCCCAATGGATTGCTCTGATGCATGGCTATTCGGTGATTTGTAGTGGGCTCAATAAACTTGCATCATTTACAGCTTGTTTGATGTCCACTCAGAGGTTAGATGTGGTACCAGGTCCATATATCTTCTCGCCGCCTTACAATCGGTTCATTGTGATGACATTAGGATCATTGATTTGTACTTCATCGCCTGCTAGATAGCATTTAGTGCTTGAGTAGCCTGGGTACGTAGGCTCAAAGAAATAAATCAAATGGATACTTCCCGAGTTAAATTAACTCAAATCTGGAAACTCAGCATTTAAAGTGTGCCCAGCTTCACCAAATTTATTGCTAATCTTTTTAAACCATCAGCGCCGCTATGCATGAACATGCGAGCTCAGGCGACAATTGGCGCAACAACCAATGGACAAACAGACAGATGGACAAGCATTCAAACAGTCAGTCCGTCTGGTTGTCTGGCAGTCAGGCAAACTGCCAAGCAGCCGAGCAGCCCAATGAACCATCCCAAAGAGACAGGCAGACAGACAGACAAGCGTTTGTTGCTTCTTCTTCTTCTTCTGCTGTTTGCCATTGTGGCCTGTTTGGCGAAAAGCTGGCAGTGCTGTTGCAACAAGCAACAAATCCTCGGCCAGAGCGCGCCGCAACTATTTCCACAAGCCCAAAAGCGGCGTTCGCTCCACCGTTGGCAGAATGATATAAAATTCCGCAGTGAACCACAGCAAAGAAGCGATTTGAAATAGCATGCAGCGTAGACAACTGGAAATGTCATAAAATGGTACATAGCCCGCAAACACATTTCCACACACAGGCACATACACAGACACATACACAGACACATACACACGTATGCATACATATACACAAGTACAAGAAACATCCACTTTGGTGTGTGATATATATGTACATACATACGTATTTATTTATTTTCAAGCTCGCAAATATTTCAAAAAATGGTGCCGCTGCTTTTATTTTATTTCCTTCTGGCAGCGTTGCAAGTCAACAGTCAGTTTGGCACTGGAGCTTCCGTTGCTGCGTCATCAACACGTAGCTGGTGGCCTCTCTGGCTATGACATGAGTCAACGCACTTGTGTTCCAACAAGTATGTGTGTTTGAGTACCAACTGGCGCAGGACAACAGAACAGAACCTCAGTTTGCAGTTAACAACTAAACGTGACAGGACGAATACGAAAGTGCCAAATGCTAATAAAATGTCAGTTTACTTAACATTTGTAATTTTGCGAGGATGAAGAAAACAGCAGATAACGGAATGTATTTTTGGTTGATGACCGTGCACTCTCGAATGTCTGCTATCTTTGCACTATTTTTACGAAATTGTTACCACATCATCCTAATCGCCAAGTCCCTCTAGCCCCGCCTGCTCTCCTGTCTGTTCATTATCGATTTTATTATTATTTATTATTGCTTACTTCTAAAGACATTGCAACCAAAGTGCATGTTGGGAATGTTGTGATCCTATCTAGGTGGCCATAGAAGACGAAAGGCAAAATAGATAAGAGTGCTCCATTAATAGACATAGGTTAGTAGTACAAGGGATCCCATGACCATGCGAACAGAAAAAAAGAAATATTTTGTATTTTAAAAAAAACTACTAAAAACCACTTTTTAAAAGCTTCTACCCCCCAAAAAAATTGTGAGCACACATAAACACTAAATGGATGTCATTGTCAAATTACTGAAGCTGTGGAAATTCACAACTGCAAGGGATTCAAAAGGGGCTGCATAAAAAACGCTAAGTTCTAAATTCTCAGAAAACTTGGATACCAAGTTTGGTTTAGAAAAAGATTGAAATAGTATAACAGACTTGCTTGACAATGTATAGAAATGGTCCTCTCAAAAGAAAAGGGCAATTCATTCATTCATTCAGTACGGCCATCAGTTCGTTCTTCGATTTTGATTTTCTCTCATTAATTGTGGCAAACGCTTTCCTTTCATTGGGAATTGGAAAAAGTCGCAGGAAGCCATGTAGGGAGCCTTGTATCTATATATATAAACGGAAATTTTACATAACGTCCTTGTAGTATTCCTTATTTACCGTACGACCTGTTTGCTACAACTCAAGATGCACTACGCATTGTAATCGAAGAAAACACTGCGCAAAGCCTTCACCTTTTCCTCTCAACAGACCTCTTATGTCCTAACCATTTCAAACATCCGGAGGGTTTTATTTATAATTAAAATAATGTAATATAATAAAACGCAATTAGTAAAACGCATAGAAATAATTACAATTCCGATTTTGATCACTCGTCATCCACAGCCTCCGAACCGTCCTTATTTGGGCGCGTGACTTTCTATAAATCAAAGGAAAACATCACTTAATTAAGTGAAAATGCAGATTTTTATGTCGCCTACCAATAGATACTGGTAATCTTGCTTTTGTGGGCGCGGCCGCTCTTTGCGAAATTTCATGTGTTTCTTGCACTGATTATATAAGAAAACGCCCTGGTGCTCGCGCAAAATAAAGCGGTCCTTCTCCAGGCTATGCGCAAGGCGATCCTCCTTGTATTTCTGATCCGAAATGTAGGAAAAAATTGCATTGTTGGGTACAGGCTTCTTGTCCTCCTCCTCAAACAGTTGGCAAATCGTTTGCAGCTTTGGCTGAAAGTGGATCATATGGTTGCCGCAATCCTTCAGTAAGCCGCGAGTGGTGCTGTTTGGCGGCAAGTCGAACTGTGTGTAGACAAACTCATACTTGGACAGCTCAGTGTCGGGGAAAAGCGGCAGCACTTCGACAGGATAGGCCTTGCTCATGGGCTTGATAGGATGCTGGGCCGCCGAGTCGTTGACATCCACAAATGTCTGATTGATGAGCTGCACTTGTTGCTCATTGGTTAGCGGTTCGGTTTGCATGGAAATGTGTAGATCTGGTTGCTTAGGCTGACTGGCAGCCAGACTTTCCATTAAGTTCCGTTTCTGCCGCTCACGCTGCTGCTGCTGCTGCTGTATTTCGGCCTGATGCTTAGACTGTAGACTGTGGCAGTCGAGCTCTTTTATGTCAGCCAAAAGGGCCTCATCACGAGGATCCATGCGCTGCGGAAAGCCATCGCTATCGTACTTCTCCTGATTAACCAGATCAATATCGAAGAGCAAATGCAAGCCCTTGTAATGGAAGTCATAGTGACTTTCCTGCTCGGAAAAAATCGGCGGCTCCTTGATAAAGTCCAGCAAACTATTACCGTACGGCAAGAACTTGGCATCGATCACAGGATCCGGCATCGGGTTGTTGTAGGTGACAGGACAAATATATTGGCTACTGTTGGTAAAAGCAAATCAGACGCAATATTGGGGTCAGTGCTTCATTCCAAAAATATGCACACACATATACACTATATACATACATACATATATTTCATTTTGAAAAGACAAAGCCACAGTCGCAATCTATTTTACTTACACCAAGTCATTTTGTTTTTTCTTCGGTTCTGTTTTCCTGCTTGCTGCTGGTTTGTTCATGCTGCACGAATTACAACTAAATTCTTTTCGTATTACCAAGTTTTGACTACACCTATCCCTAAAATGCAACTAATGTGACAGCGTAGGCACACTCTTATGTATGGCATATTTGATGGAACTAGTGTTGTTGAATATTTTCTCATATGTTTTATACCAAGAAGTCTTTACAACACTGAATCAGAATAGTTTTCTATGTGATAGATGGCTGCGCGAAGGCCCATAATAATTGTTTGGTATGAGTATTAAATGTTGTTAATCGAATCTTATTTGTCGTCAAAGCATCCCTCATGAGGTAGATCATTTTTAAAGTCTGTGCGTGTAAATAAGGTACTTTTTTCTATGTGTAGTCAGTCCCGGACACACTTCTCACTCACTTCAGCTTCCTCGGATTTCCTGTATCTATCGTCTGTTTCGTTGACCAGCTTTCTTTGGTGGCTATCGAGCAATGATCTACTATTGCAAGTGCTCCTACAGAGATTAGTTCGTGCTTACGCTAGCTCTGCTCCCTCGATTGCCAGAGTGTGTGAGGCTGGAAAACCGATAGATATTCTTGCCTGGAAATTTATAGAGAAAATCATGCGTCCTGTAATTAATTTCCTAACTCTAGTAATTTCATCATCACACTTAATAGCGTTCACATTTTCCACAATAAAGTATCGTTATTATTGTAATTGTATTTTATTAGAAGTCATTTTTTTGTTGTTGGATATTCCTCTAAATAAATCAGAAAATTTGGCGGTTATTGGCAATTGGGGCGTTTGGATTTACTGTGTTCAACGAAATTTGAAAATGAGCTCCAAGAAAAACATATATTAGTTTTTTTGACTATGCCAACGATAAAGGAAGCAAAAATGTCTTTAATTTACTTAACGAAGTTTGGTTTAGGTAGCATTTGAAATGTGGACGCTATTGACGAAATTCTGCAGCGGGGGAAGGGGGGGAAAATTAAAAAAAAAAATAAACTCGTCCTTACTCGGACCTAGGAGAATCTGGTTATTCTAGCTTTTATAGTTTCTGAGATCCTCGCGTTCATCCAGAAGGACGGACAGACGGACGGACATGTCTAGATCGATTTCTCTCGTCATGCTGATCAAGAATATATATACTTTATGGGGTCGGAGATGCTTCCTTCTGTATGTTACATACTTTGCACAAACCTAATATACCCTTTTTACCCTACGGGTACAGGGTATAAAAATACAAACTAATTGTCAAATATTTTATCTAGCTTTCTATTTTAAGCAAAAGGTCTTGAACTTTATTCAAGGTATTTAAGAAAATTCGTTGTTATTGCCATAAAGAAATGCGGGATTGTGGAGTATGTTTGAAGAATATTTGACCGACACATCGTTACACCGATATTCCTTAGCATTAGCATTCCACCCAAAACGCTTGCCCATAAATTAATTCAAAAGCTAATCGCGTGCTAATCAAGTAGTTGCTCAAGCTGCTACTGCAAACCACCAGTCGAGATCATCAAAGGACTAAAGGACAGAGGACTAAGAATAGGCACACGCAAAGGCTCCAACTGAAGGGGTTAGCGTAGGCTTAAAATGCGTGCTCGGCCATCATTATGCTAAAACGTTGCACAGTGGCACTTAATCAAGTGCCCCACAACGCCCACAATATTAATTCGAAGCCATGCCCCCAGCGAAGTCGGTGCGATTTAATTGCCCTGCAGACACTTCAATGTCAGCATAAATTAAATTTTGATTTCGCTTCCAACACTCGCACTAATGAAATTCCCTTCGAAAATTGCACAGATGACGACGATGGCGACGTCGCTGATGCTCTTTCTGATTATGGTCACGATTTGGCGGCCAGACTTGAGTTCCGTCAACGTCACTTAACGTCTCAGTACTCGAGGTTTGAGGTCGCATCAATTAGTTTGGCGGCAGCCGAGGGCAGCTGCTTTTCAGCCGCCCGTCGCCTCATTATGACCATCGATTCGCAATTGTATGCGGCAAGGCGTAATGGCTCGTGATGAGTTTGCTGGTGTGGTCAGGCCATAAGTAATGATTGGGAACCATCGGATGGCTCTGCATGTGCCGTCTGTTGTGGTTTGCTGGGCCAAATGGAAAGTCGGCATTAAATGTGATTAGGTATTACTTCAAATTAATGTATATTAACCTTATGTTCTTAATTAAAAACATCGCACATTTTAAAATTATTATCACCGAACACAGTCCTTCCAATTTCCATGTAGCTTCAAAGTTAAATCTAGCAAGTGTTTCGGTAGGCAATACTCTTTTTGTTTTTAAGCTGAGACCACAATCACCCGTTGTGTCGCATTTTGCAACATTTTCTTCATTGCGTACATATGTGGGTTTGTGTCTTGTGAGCATTTAAACATATTTTTAGATTTTAAGAATGCCCTAAGTATTTAGCAAAATAGTTAGGTTAAATGTTGTGCAAATATTGAAATGTCTGCAGTCAAAAGTTGAGGAATATTGCAAGAGTCTTTTGATAAAAGAATGGCACACAAGCATTGAAGGCAAATCATATACAAGGCGACCAAGAACAAGATGTGCTGACGCAAATCAAAGAATTGTTGCATCAAAATCCAACCAGAGCCATTGGTAATTATATTGGCTCACAATATAAAAAGCATAGTAACTGGAGAGGAGACTTGGACCTATGCCTACGACCCCAAAACAACTGATCAATCGAGCGAAACATGGCTCAAAACTAATGGGGCGGCAGTCTAGAAGGGTTTAGTGAATTTAAATGTCATTAATATTAATCGCGGTGTGACAATGTTTCGAGGATGATTATGAACTGACAGCATGCTACTCAGGAGTTTTTTAAGGTAATCTTTTTTACACATTTGGTTACATTACTGGCGTTTTAGTAATTATTTATTATATATTTGCAAATATAATATAGCCCACGTTCACCGTCTATAGTGTCGCTTCCCAACAGTGAAACAATCCATTAAATCGGTCCATTAGATTCGGAGCCTTTTCAAATCAAACAAACAAACACACAAACAAACAATCAAATCTTTCCTCTTTATAATATTAGTATAGATAAATTTCTTTCGCTGGGCCAAATAGTCCACATGAATATTATTTGAGTGTAATCCGTCGTTTCCGTGTAGCTATTTGTCTCAATAGGTCAGATTTGTAGCAAGACAACTCTAGGTTCTTGCAACACTATAATGCTCCAACTCACACTGCACTCGATTGAAAATATTCTAGTCCAATCAAAAAAGATAGAGAAGGTCATTTCAGAATATGATTTATTTAACTGGTTCAAAGATTGAAAAAAACGTTCACATATGTGCATAGCATATGGAGGAGGGAGTACGTTCAGCGCGATAAAATAGATTTAATACATTTTTTAATCACATTTTTACACAGCACAGACCTGATTGATTTCATTCTTTTGTCCACACAAATTAGGTCCGCGCTTTACTTTCTAAAATATTCAATTAAAGCGAGACTTTAAAAAGCTCAGCACTTGAAACATTTCTCTGGCTCTAAAAAGTACTTCTCTCAATCTCAAGACCATTCCGCAATCATTTTTAACCTGCATCTCTATGCCATTATTAAGCACTCAAAGGAGCATCACCAACAACGACAGCAACAAGAGCAGCAACAACGAACAACGCAATACCATCATCAATGTAATTAAGTCGCCTGCAGATGGACACACCCCCACCGGTCTCCAGGACAGTGGAGCGCGTAGTCAAGTATCTGGCGCACGTTCCACGCATTTCCAGCGCTTTAAGCGCACATTTTACTAATTAAGTGCAAATTAAATGCTGGCTGACTGGCCTCAACGAGCGAGGCACGGATCTGCCTGGACCCAGCCTCCATATGACGACGACGACGATGACGACGACGCCAACAGCGACATTGACAACGATGCGGTTGCTTTTACCGATTTTTCAATTGTCTCTTTGCAGCTTTTGTGTCACGCGCCTCTTAATTAAACTCAATGTGTATTCGAGTATGTATGTATATGTGTGTGTGTATATGTGTGTGTGGCAGTTGCAGAGTTAGGCAGCCTAAGCATTCGTTTTCATTAGCATTAGCGGCTGGATATTTGAGCTGGCCAGCGGTGACGGCAACGGCAACGGCGACGACAGCAACATGCCGCAGCAATCCTTTCAAGCTCTGGCCAAATTATTGTAATAATAGGCGACAGATGACACACACACACGCACACACACACACCAATTCACGGGAATTCACGGGGAGGGGTGGGAGGGAACTAAAAGACATTTCGCATTAGCATGCATTACATCAGGCCAGCACACTTTTCATGCCTCTGTTTAGGACGCTGACCTGGCCTCCTCGCCCTCCCCTTTTCCAACCCATTGTTCGTTTAGCAAAGCACGTTGTAATTACTTTATGTGTCGTATTCGTGTTGGATTTCCCACTATTTTTGGTCTGCTAAACATTAGAGAATACGACCAATCGTGTGGATGTCTAAAGGCATATGACAGTGGCTCAAAACAATTGTTTTCTTGATCAAACGCTGTGGTTGGGCACTCAGTAAAGTAAAGTAGAGCTAACTAATTAAATCGCCAGCTATCGGCAAATAGTTACTTCCCAAGACCAGCGTCTTCAGCACAAAGCATTTTCAATACTTTCTTCAGAAATGTACGTCCACCAATACCTTATTCGATATTAGTTACTTATTCAGGCTGTTTTTTTCGGAACGTGATCTCCATTGATTCCTTGTTGCCAAGCAACGACTTTTTTTGCAACGCTTTATATCTACGAGCATTATTCATTCCATCCAATTACTTAGAATACGGAAAACTCTTAAAAACTAAAGGCCTGAAAATCTGTCGGAAGGGCACTCCCTATAACTTTATTGTCCTATATCTTTATTGGTCATAGGTCGAAATCATTTGTGTGCTACCAAATCGTTCAACACAAATCATTTATTCCACTATATTTTCTATAACAACCATCGCTTTATTGCTATATACTTGTATGTTTTGTTGATCATACAAGTGTATGCGCATAAAATATGTGAACTACCAGTATTCCTTCAGGGTCTTGCAAACTTTTATATCAACAAACAATGTAC